GCGTAGCGCGCCCGCGCGGGCCCGACGCGCGGGATCGCTCAGTTCTCTCGCCCGCCGCCGCCCTTCGCGGCGCCGCGGGGAGGCAGGAAGAACGCGGAGGGGAGCTCGGGGGCCCCCGTTCCTTTCGGGCCCCCCTGGCCGACGCCGCGCCCGCGCGCGCCCCCTGCGCCCCCCCGGGGGGAGAGGAAGGGGGCCAGGACCGCGGCAGCGATGGCGGTGACAGACACCAGCGGGCCTCCCCTGAGCCTCACCAGGGCCCCGATGGAACCCCCATATCCCCTGGGCATGGCAGCAGTGGCGGCGTCAGAGCCCAGCGGGCCGAACCCGGCAGCAATGGCGGAGTTAGAAAGCGGCGGACCCCCCCTGAGCCTCGCCAGAGCTCGGAAGGAACATCAATGTCACCCGTTCTTGCCGCGTTCCGTGGCACCCCTGAACCAAGTAGCAATGGCGGCGTCAGAGACCAGCAGGCCGACCCATGTAGCTTCACACCCGTTCTCGCGGCATTCCGCTGCGCTCTTAGTTGTGACGTGTCGGAGGCCAGTGTCTGTTCACCTGGTAGCGTCCTCAGGGGCACGGGGGGCCTTGGCGGCGTCAGAAACCAGCGGGCCGAACCTGGTCGAGATGGCGGAGTCGCAAGCACGGGGGCCTCCCCTGAGCCCCACCAGTGCTCAGAGGGAACCCCTATCTCTCCCGCGCTCGCCGCTTTCAGCGGCGCTCCTAGACAGAGCAACGACGGCGGCGTCAGAAACCAGAAGGGCCCTCCCGGTTCCTCACAGGCCCCCGAGCATACGCCTACTGCAGGCAATTCCGCCGCTGCTTCGGGCGAGCCAACGCGCATGGCAGTGGCACCCCTGGACCGCGAAGAGCTGCTCTGTAACCACCTGTCCAAGGCTGCGACGACACGCGGGCCGGGGAACCTTCGCCACCATCTGGCACCCCGGATAGTGAACCCCCTGGCCCCTGGGAGCGAGCGCGGGCCACGGACGGCCAGGTCGACAGAAACCAGAATGCTCAACGTGACGCCGTGCCTGGACAGCCCTCCAGTCTCGAAGTGGCCCCCCCAGTCCGCCCTGGAAGCCAGGGGGTCCTTTCCCCCGTTGTCGCGACGAGCGCACCTGGCGCCGCTGCTCGTCCTGGAGAACCCTCGTCGCCGCGGCCGCGCAGCGGAACCCAGCAGAGCAGCCGCGAGCAGCAGGACGGGCGCCAGCAATGCCATCGGGAACAGGGCGGCGGATCCTCGCAGCGCGACCGCGAGTAGCAGGAAATACCCCAGCAGCAACATCGCGAGCAGCGCGACGGGCCCCAGCAGCTCGACCGCCCGCAATGCGACGGACTCCAGCACCACGATCGCGAGCAGCCAGACGGGCTCCAGCATCGCGACCTCGGGCGGCCAGACGGACGCCGCTGGGCGGACCAAACTGACGACAGCGACGCCGAACCCGACGCGCCTGGACCCGGCGCCCCACTCGACACCACTGCCGGCGCCCAGCCGTGGACCCCTCCCGCCCTGACCGCTGCCCGCCAGTCTGCGCCAGTCGGAGCGTTGCGTGGGCTCCGTTCTTGCGGCCCGCCACGGCAGCTGCTCGCGCCGATGCCTGGGTCAACGCGGACCCGCCGCACGACGACCCCCCGACGGCCCCCGGTGCCCCCCGCTGCTCCCCCGCGACGACGGCCGTGGACGGTTCCTGCGCCGCGGGCAGCTTCAGCGCAAGCCCGCGGGGGGGAACACCTCGGCATGCACGGCGAAACCTCCAGCTGCTCGTCAAGTACACCTGGACTGCGGCGCCAGACGGTCGCTTCGGATTATAGAAAAGGGCAAGGGGCGGGCGCGCCCCGAGGATGTCCCAACCCCCGCCCTGCTCGAGTTCCTCGGCTCGAAGGAGACCCTCGCGGCGCGGCCCGGGTCAGGAGGGCGCTGCAGGCTGGTGGCGAAGTTAGGGCGGCCTGACATTAAGTTCTGCGTTCGGCGAGGTGGTGGCACCCGCGACACCAGGCGGCGCGACGCCACCTGCTTCCTTCACCAGTACGAGCCAGTGTGAACCACCCACACGCCGCCGCCCTAGGGGGGCCCGTCCGCGCGGGCCAGCGGACAGCGCGGCCGCCCCACCGCCCAACCGGCGGGTCCCCGCCGCCCCTCCCGCGCGCATGCACCCCGGCGAGGCGAGCCCCCTGCCCGTGGCGCCCTGCCCTCCTGGCCCACCGCCCAGGTGCCTCACTGCCCCCGCGCGCGTCGCGACCGCTGCCTCCCCCCCGCTTGGCGGTTCCCTGCCGGTCGCTGCCCGCCCTGCTGGGCGACGCGCCCGCCCGCCGAACCGGAGGCCCCCTCGCCTCCCTGTGTCTGGTCTTTCCTCCCCCCTCCCTGTCCGCGCTCTGTGGCACGTGGCCATATCGCGACTGCCGGCAGGGCGCGCCGCTGCGCCGCCCCCGCCGGCCGGCTGGTCGTCGCGCAGGGCCGATTTGCCAGACTCGGCCGGCTGTCCGTCAGTTTTCGCCAGCGCTGCGTGCTGGGCGCCGCCGCGGGCACTGCTGCGGGCCTTTACGGCGCGGCCTGCGGACGCCCCCCGGCGCGCGAGTTGGCCGGGCTTCGCGCCGCCGCACGGCGCGCCGTCTGCCGGGGCGGTTTCCGGGCGGCCGCGGAGATCGCGTTCGGCGTCTTGGCGCCGACCTGGCGGCTGGACCCGGCGGCGGTGATTCCCAGCGGAGCTCTGGAGACGAGCCGCTGGCGCCATGGCCGCGGGGCACGGCCGCGGCTTTGGCCCGGTGGACGCGGCGATCCGGAGCTTGGTGGAGTTGCAGTTGGGGACCGATGTCGGGTGCTGGACTGGCGTGGCCACCTCGCCTGGCGGCTGGCGCCCGGCCGACCGCGCCCTGCCCGACACGCGCGCGGTTCTCCTCCGTGCTTGGGCAGCCCGCGAGGCCCGTAAGGTGGCAGGGCGGCGCGCCAGCTTTCGACACCTAGACACTGGAATCGACAGGTGGGCAACCAGGCGGCTCCTCGAAGGCGGGGAGCTGGCGGCCGACGCCGCGGGGGCCCTCCGCGCCGTGCTCACTGGAAACGTCGTCACGGAGGCGGTGGCGGCGAAATGGGGGCGCCCTGCGGCATGCCCGCACTGCGGCGCGGCGTGCGACGACTTCGAGCACCGCTTCTGGGCTTGTCCCTGCTGGGAACCCGCGCGCGCCGCCGCGCTGGTCCCCGAGGGCTTTACCCGCGCCGAGGCGCGCGCGCGCGGCTGCCGACCCAGACGTCGCTCACCGGGGTGTTGCCCCAGCACCCGCAGCTGGCTGCGCTGGCGGACGAGGCGCACTGGCCGCTGCCGCGCCCAGCCCTGCAGGCCCGCGCTGCTGAGCCAACCCGGGCGCGCGCTTGGACGGACGGTGGCTGCGTGCACCCCACCGACCTCCTCCTCGCTAGGGCAGGGCGGGGGGTGGTGCTGGACCAGGGCGCTGGCCGTCAGGAGCACCGCGGGCCTGTCGACGGCACGCAGACCGCGCAGCGCGCCGAGCTCACGGCAGCGGTGCATGCCGTCAGCCTGGCAGGCGGTGCCGTCGAGATAGTGACCGATTCTCGCTTCGTCAGCAACGGCGTCGCGGCGATCAAGGCCGGGGCGTCCACCGAGGATTGGGCCCACGCAGACCTGTGGGAGTTGATCGTTCCTCACTGCCGCAGCGACGCGCTAGCCGCGCGATAGATTAAGGGGCACCTTGACGCCGCGGAGGCCCAGGCACGAGGTGTGTCGCCAGAGGACCGCTCCGGCAACTCCGCGGCCGACCGCCTCGCCAGGGTGGCAGCCGAGGCCCGGCTGCCTCCGCTGGCGCTGCGCCAGGAGCGCGAGCTGCAGCTGATCGCGCGCATGGCCGTGCAGCGCGTTCTCGCCGCGGTGGAGCTCGCGGCGCTCAAGGCCAACCACGGGCACGGCCCTGGAGGCCCGCGCGTGCGGCGGCGCTGGGCGCAGGCGGGGCGTCGCCGCCGCCGCGTGCCCCGCGTGGCGGACGACGCTGCGGTTGCGGCCGCGGTGGCCCCAGAGGCGGAGCAGGGACAGGCGCGCGCGGCGCCAGGCCCAGGGGCGGCCGCCGCGGCGAGGGCGCTGTTCGCCTGCAGCCTTGGCGGGGGCACGTCGCCTCCCAAGGGCCCGCTTGGGTGGCCTGCGTGGCGTGCGGGTGCTGGGCCCCGCGGTGGGAGCGCCTCGCGGGCCGCCCGTGCAGCGGATGGGCGCCGCACCTGCCCCCGCGGGCGGCCGGCCTGCTGCTCCTGGATGCCCCGCGCGCCGGCGGCCGCGAGGCGGCGTGGCGGGCGGCTGTGCGACGGCGCCTGCTGGAGCGCCCGGGCGCGCCAGACTAATTAGTTAATTAGTTGCGCGGCGGCCGCTTTGGGCTGCCGCTGGCCCCTCGCGCTCGCCGGGGCGCGCTGCTGTGTTTTCTTGTTTCCCCGCCTCCTCCTCCTCCTCCTTCCTCGTTTCCGGCTTCTCTGCGCTCTGTTGTCACCCGTTCTCGCCGCTGGGCCCCCCTACGGATGGTAAAAAAGTGTGCGTGTGCGTGTGTGCGTGTGTGCGTGTGTGCATTTGTGCGTTTGTACGTTTGTGCGTTTGAGCGTTTGTGCGTTTGGGCATGTGCGTGTGCGTGTGCGTGTGCGAGTGCGTGCGCGTGCGCGTGCGTGCGCGTGTGCGTGTGCCTTTGCGCGTGTGCGCGTGCGCGCGTGTGTGTGTGTGTTGTGTGTACGTGTGTGTCAGTGCGTCTGTGTATCTGTTTGTGTGTCTGTGTCTGCGTCTGTGTCTGTGTCTGTGTCGGTGTCTGTGTCTGTGGCTGTGGCTGTGTCTGTGTCTGTGTTTGTGTGTGCGTGCGTTCGTGCGTGCGTGCGTGCGTGTGTGTGTGTGTGTGCGTGTGTGTATATATATATATATATATATATATATATATATAGATGTATGTGTGTGTGTTTGTGGTTGTGTTTGTGTGCGTTTCGGACGCTTGCGAGTAGGGACTTTGCGAGTAGTGGCACGCGCTCGGTGATCCTGGCTCATCCGCTCGTGGGCGCTCCGCAGTTGCACCGCCTCCTGCTCCAAGACATGCAGCTGCTTAGTCCTAAGAAGGAGAAGCTCTGACAAGCAAATCATTTCGGAGGTCCGCGCTGATTTCGTTGATCTGCGCTGGCCCCCCTGAGGCGCGGACTGCTCCATGGGTGGCGCCGTAGGCGCCGCCTGGTGGGTCCAGCGCAGATCTGAGGAACCCCCGCGGACGCTGCACTGGGCATATCTATGCGGCTCTGTTTCTTCTCTGGGTCCTTGCACCCAAATCGAGGGCCAGCTGGGCCTTAGAGGGAACAAGGAATTGCCCACACCGCCACTCCACAGACCTAGCCTGGGGCGCGTGCTGACTAATATTTCGGAGCAAATTCCAGCTGTGTTGACGAGGGAAGGGTCGCCCAAGGCTGGACCCCCGACGACGGTTTCATTTTTACCTGGAGGGCACCCAAGAAGTCTGGACCCCATGCCCTGGGACACGCTTTTCATTCTGGGCCGTGTTTGACTGTCCTAGGGCCTGGCGAGGGCCTCCAGGGGCCGAGGATAGCCAAAAACGTTCCGTCGTGGCTTTCACGACGCGAGGGGGCCTGGTTTCTGACCAGGATTTCGAAACGAATCCAGCCCTGGTGGCAAGGGAAGGGTAGCGGATCGGTAGCTTTGCCTCTTTTTTGGTGACCCAAAAGGAGGTCCAGCTGAAAGGGGGGAGTGCAATAGATTTGGTATTGCGCCAGAGACATGTATCGCATTGTGTATTGCAACTAATGTATTGCACGCGAAAATCCGGCAATACATTTGCGCCCCAGAATATATCTCATAATTGTTTGCAACTAATGTACTTGCACGCGGAAAGCCAGCAGATGTATTGTAACCCCACAAATCTATTGCACCAAATCTATTGCACCACCCCCTTGTCGCTGGACCCCCTTTGGGATCAACCCGAAAGGGAAGGAAGGGTAGCGGATCGGTATCTTTGAGGCGAGGGGGAAACTTCAGGGGGGACCGACTCAGGGGGGAAACGCCCACCAGGAACCGGTGAGACATCGCCGATATGGCGGCGATAGACCCCAATTGCAAATCCGCACGTTCCTGGGCGGGGTGGGCAATCGTCGGGGAGACGTAAGACTCGGGTAGGGGGGACCCGGGTTGGTCTGACGGGGGCCATGATGAAAATGACGAGAACCAATCTGAAATCTGACGCGGGCTCCCGCTGCAGACGTCCCTCGAAAACTGGACCGTCAAAACCCAGGACGCGCTCGTCAAATAACTTCGGTAAACCCGAGTTCTGGCTTACTCGAGTCTTACGTTTCCCCGAAATCGGACCCCTATCAGCGATGAATGGGCGACGCATCCCCCCTGAGCCCATCCCCGTCCCCGGTAGTTTTTTCGGGCCATAACTCGAACCTCCGGCGGCCGTTCGAGACGATCGGGAGAACCCCCGAACGCCTCTCGGCAAGGCGCAGCGCCTGGAGAGAACCCCGCGACGGGAAAACCGTGGAGAACAAACGGAAAAAAACGAACATCTCGAATCCTGAACCTCGAACCAGTCGTCCCTGTGTCTGGAGCCCATCCCCCCTAACGTTACCCTTGATGGGGCCTTGGCGACGGCGAAGTCTTTGCCATCCGCCTTCGACGCCTTCAGCTGGCGGCTGACCTGGGAGGAATCCTCCGTGAGCCTGGGGGGATGGGCAAGAACAGAATCAATGAGGGCAACTATGTTCGCACTTCGCTCCACGCGAAGCCCGAATACATTCGCGCTCTCGCGCCACCCCCTGGGGAGAAGAGGACGACGACGAGAATGAGCATGAGGAATCGCGAACCGGGAGTCTCGAGAAACTTCGCGCCCTCGTGGCGGTCCTTGCATCAACGACACGCCGCCGTCCATCAGCGTGTCACCGTCCAAGACCCCCACCGCATCCTCAGAAAATCAGGACGGGAAGTTGCCCTATATCTTCTGTCTCTGGAGGCCCTCACCGGGCCCCGTGGCCAACAAACAAGCCTCTGGAGGAAAGGCAGGTCCCTGAAATGGGGTCCACACCCCTGGGGGTCCACGCCACGAAAAAATCACGATTTCGGGGGTCTGGGGCCCATAAACACTAGGCCTTCGGACAAACATCTATCAGCATGCCACTGCGAAGAAGAGATAGGAATTGAAGACATGAGCAGCAGGACGCAGTGTCCGAGCCTACAAAGGGCCCAATGGGGGACCGACGCGAACAAAGCACGGCCCAAAAACGCGACGGGGCTTACGTGCCAAGCACACGGCCCCGCTCCGGGACAAACCCCGCCCCAGGTGGGCATCCGTGACCAGCACGGACCGAGGCCAGCAGAACACGAAGAATACCAACTATCCCCCGGCAAAGCTGGCCGTAGAAGCACCAGGCCTTCGGACACTGACGAAGGTGCAGCATGCCGACGAGCCTCCGACGGCGGCGCGTCACTGCTGCTCTTCCTGCCTCCCAAGGCGCCTCTCGACCTGTGAGCCCAGGCTGCGGGCCTCCGCACGGGACGCCTCTGGGGGAACCACAAAGTACCGACACCGTCGCTCCCCCGACCTCTCCCTGTGCGCGGTCTGACCAGGAGTACAATCAAAACCTGTAGTAAGGACGCGCTGTAAGGACGCAAGACCTATGGACGGTCCTTGGAAGCCCCAGTTGAAGCTTTTCTAGCGGCGCACTGTCGAACAAATCTAAGGACGCAAGGGTGCCCTTGGGAAGTCTTACTATGAATTTACACTGTACGAGGCGAATCCAGCTGTGGCCACGTGAGCTCTCCAGGACGAGAAGCGGTACCTGTATCCGCTAGGATCCGACGTTATGAAACAATACAATACCGCGAGCAATCACGAGCAGAGCCCTAGACCCCATCTTTCTGCTGGATGTGTCGAGCGGGGTCGATCTTGGATGGTCCCGGGATCCGAAGACGGGCAAAAACGAGGGCCTCCCAGGAGGCCCAAAAAGGCGAAAGCGAGGGACGGGCAGCGGTATCCGTACCTTTTCCTCCTCTGAGCCTCCAGCTGCGAGGCCAGCGCTTCCGCCCTGCGCACCGAACTGCGCGCCTCCTCCTCTGCCTCCTCGAGGCGCCTCTGCAGCGCCCGGCTCACGCCCCCCAGCGCGGCGGCGTCAGTCTGCGACGCGTGCAGCTGCGTTCGCCTCTTCGTCGTCATCAGCATCGTCATCGTCATCGTCATCGTCCTTGTTATCGTCATCATCATCGCCATCATCGAGCAAACACATCACCATCACCATCACCATCACCATCACCATCACCATCACCATCACCATCACCATCACCATCACCATCACCATCACCATCATCATCATCATCATTATCATCATCATCACCACCATCAAAATCATCATCACCATCACCATTAAAATGATCATCACCATCAACACCACCGTCACCATCACCATCTTCACCGTCACCATCTTCACCATCACCGTCGCCATCACCATCGCCATCACCGTCATCACCGTCATCACCATCATCGCCGTCATCAGCAGCATCATCACGACTGACATCATCCTCATCATCAGCAGCATCATCATCACCATCACCACCACCACCACCACCAGCATCATCATCATGATCACAACCACCATCATCAACACTTACAAGATGTGCATCAACAACAATATCATACTCGTCAGCATCACAAGAACCGTCACCATCATCATCACCATCACAGTCATCATCATCTCCATCGCCATTATCACCGTCATGATCAGCATGATCCTCATCGTCATCATCATCATCATCATCATCATCATCATCATATGCATCACCACCATGATCATCTCATCATCAGCAACAGTTTCTCCATCATCAACCCCATCATCAGCAGAGGCAGCAGCAGCGACATCATCATCAGCACCATCATCTACACCGCCACGATCATCGAAATCACCACAACCGTCATCGCCATCACCACCACCACCATCACCATCGCCATCACCAGCACCATCACCATCATCATCATCGGCCTCTCGTCCCGCACACGCAACAGCTCAGTGGCCCTCTGGGCGTGGAGCTCGGCCTCGCCCCTCGCGGTGGCAGCCGCCTCGGCGCTCTTGCGCGCGTTGCCCGCCTCCTCCTCAGCCCGCTCGTCCGCTCTCTGCGCGCGGGCGCGCGCCTCCTGCAGCTCGGCCTCCAGCCTGGACGCCTCCACAGTCAACCAAAGCCGAGTGTGTTGTGTCACGCCTCCACAACCTCCACTCCACCAACCTCCGTCCTTGATCACACCAGGCGTTGTCTCCCGGCCTCGGGCCCCTGGACCTTCGCAGATCGATCCGGCTCGGAACATGCCGCAGAGAGTTGCGGTCAAGGGCTCTGCTCGTGATTTTGTACGACGCTGCATTTTTCCCGAACGGCGGATCTCAAGAACGGTCGGAAGCTTTTGATTAGCGTGCCGCATCGGCGACCCTGCGAGACGCTATGTCCTGCAAGCTGACGGCATGTCGCGCCGCTGTGCTGGGCGGGGGCCTGGGGAGAAGCTCGGGGCATTGAAGTTTTGCTGATTTGGAACTGGGACGTGGCCAGCGTGTCACGCCGAGGCGTGGTGGGACAGAACCGGCAGAGCAACACGCTGAGCAAACGTTCCTGACATAATACTGCAGACGCCCACCGACAAGTTTCTCCCCTCTGCCTTCAGGGATGGCAGCGGTGCATCAGTATCGACAGCGTTTGGCGGCGAGCCGTACACCACCGCACCCCCCTGAGGCCCAAGAAAACATCGACCTGGAATCGGCGATACATCGCCCCGCTTTCGGGTCATCACTCGGGTCTCCGGCGGCCGCTCTCGGCGAGGAGCAGCGGCTGGAGAGTATCCCGAGACTGGAATATCGCCGAGAACACACGAAAACGTCCAAGAACCCTTGACCTCGAACCCGGGGCGTCTGCGTATATTTGTTTGATTTGCGGCGGAGCCTCGGAGTGCAGCGAGGCGATCCTGGGACGCACAGAACCATAATGATACTATGTGTCCTCCTTGGAGGCGCGCGTCCGACCTGAACATATAGTTTACCCATCTCGTAATCTATCGTTTCCCGAGCGGTGCGGCCAGAAAGCGCCCGCCACGACGCATATACCATAAGATTTCTCGGTGCGCGCGTCGCCCCTGGGGGGGGGCGAAGCACTCATGGTAGAAGTGTGTTGGGGTGACGCCGATCTCCTCTCCTCCGCGCGCTGCAGGTGGGTCGCGTTCCGCTCCATTGCGCCGCAGTCTTCGGCGGAGTGCTCTCTGGCGGCCTCCAGCTGCGCCCGCGAGCCCTGCAGCTCCCGCCCCAGCCTCCGCGCCTGCTACAGTTAGGTCGGACATGTCCCCCTACAGGCGGATTTTGGACGAAAAATAAAAATTACCCTGAAAATATTCCTAAGCACTGAAAAATAGTGAACACAGCAATCCCAGACTGTTTCTATACCATTGTTGAATCTTCCTCCTGTAGAGGGACACGCCCGACTTAATGCTACAGAAACGGTCAGCATCGAATCGGAGGACGGGAAGATCAGATCGAATCGGAACGTGCATCGAGTCGGGCCGAATCGGCACGGACTCGGAATCGAAGCGCATCGGCCGCGCTGGGATGCGCAACAGCGTCATGCAGGCATCGGGCCGCATCGAGCGGTCGAAATCGAGTCGGATCGGGCCAGCTGAAATCAATATCGACGATATCGAATCGAATCGATCGGGTCGAAATGCACCCTGGCCTGCTGGCCCTCCTCTGCGGCCTCCGCGCGGGCCTTGCCGAGCTTCTCCTGGAGAAGAACAAACTGCAGCAGACGCATTGAACTTTCGAAGGTCTTTGCCCAGACAAGTTCACGTCGAGAAAAGATCACGGCCAAATGCTTTCGTTGTCAGTTTCCTCCTCTGGGGGGCCCTTACAAAGGCCCGGCACCGTCAGAAACCTAGCCCGGATGAGAATGTAATGTGGCCCTGGGGAAAGCGTCGGGACAGCGTCGGGACTTCTGGAGGCCAGGAGATCGCTCGACCTCCGAAGTCAGTCGACATGAAGCAGGCATACACGCCAAATAATGATGCTGCAAGACATCGCGGGGCGCATCCTTCGTCGAGAGGCCCCGAGGTGCCGCGGGAGCCATCGGATAATCCGCCGACCCTTCGGCGTGTGGAAGCCGATGTCGCCGTCGTCGTCGTCGCCGTCGTCGCCGTCGTCGTCGTCGTCGGCGTCGTCGTCGTCGTCGGCGTCGTCGTCGTCCTCGTCGGCGTCGTCGGCGGCGTCGTCAGTCCCAACAAAATTGAGGAATAAGGAAAGAAAATTTGGTAGCGAAGTCGATTCCCTTCCCTTTATCCCCATCCCTGCCAGGGGGGGGGTCCTTCGGGGGTGTGGGGGGGGGGTGAGGGGTTGGGGGGAAGGGGGGGGGTCCCGGGTCGGAATACCGCCCCCCGTGTGGTCCCGGCGGGTCCTGGGGGGGTCGCCAGCGGGGTTCCCGAGGGAGGTCCCGCCTTCAGGGTCGGCGGAACCAGCCAGAAGGCATTCGCAATAAGCTTCCGTGGGGCACCATCTGGCAGGTCGATTCCTTACATATCTGAGAGGCCTCCTAGATGGGATCGAGGAAGTGGGGTCGGAGGGTCGCGCCACATCGTCGATGCATCACCATGCATCGGCGATGCATTGGCGACGTCGCTGTGGAGAAAATCGGGCTCCGCATCGAGCCGCATCGCCGATGCATCGCCGATGCGGCGCCACCATCCGACCCCATCCACTCTGATCCTATGTGGAAGGCCTACGGCAAGTTTGTGTCGTGCCGACTTCGGCTTTGGCTTCTGAAACCACGCAAACCGCTCAACCTTGAACGATCGGCCGTTTTCGAAACGTCAGATCGTTCAACATCGACCGATTCTGGGTCGCCGGTTGCGTTCAACGTTGAACGCTGGTGGCGGGGTCGCCGCCTGTCGACACGACGCGAACCAACCGTTCTCTGACCCCATCTGGGAGGCCTAGATCCCAGACCCCCGAACTCATGATTCCCAACCATCCTGTGGTGTTGGATCCTTGTGTTGGAGAGACAACGACCCGCGTCTCCTCCTCTCCCCTCCTCCTCCTCCTCCTCCTCCTCCTCCTCCTCCTCCTCCTCCTCCTCCTCCTCCTCCTCCTCCTCCTCCTCCTCCTCCTCCTCCTCCTCTCCACTTCCGCCTCCTCCTCCTCCTGCTCCTCCTCCTCCTCCTCCTCCTCCCCTTTCTCCTCCTCCTCTCCCCACCGAAGGCCTCAGTGGCAAGGTTCGCATGGCGGCCTCGGGCCATCTCGGCACACCCGTCACGAGGATCGTGTCCACATGGGGAGATCCACCGAAGGCACCAGTGGCAGGGTTCGTATGGCGGCCTCGGGCCATCTCGGCACACCCCTCACAAGGTTCATGTCCCCTTAGAGGGCTCCACCAAAGGAGCCAGTGGCAGGGTTCGCATGGCGGCCTCGGACGATTTTAGCTCTCTCACGAGGATCGTGGTCACAGAAAGAGCTCCGCGTGGCAAGGTTCGCGTGGCGTCCTCAAGCGATTTCGGCACACACCCCACGAGAATCGTGGCCACATAAGAGCTCCACCAAAGGCCCCACTGGAAGGGTTCGCATGGCGGCCTCGGGGGATTTCGGCACACCACTAGAATCGTGGCCACATAAAAAGCTCCACCAAAGGCCGCAGTGGCAAGGTTCGCGTGGGGTCCTCAAGCGATTTCGGCACACCCCTCACGAGAATCGTGGCTACATAGGGAGCTCCACCGAAGGCCCCAGTGGCAGGGTTCGCATGGCAGCCTCGGGCCATCCTGGCACACCCCTCACAAGGATCGTGGCCACATAGGGAGCTTCACCGAAGGCCGAGTGGCAGAGTTTCGCATGGCGGCGTCGGGCAATTCCGGCGCACCCCTGACACGCTTCGTGGAACCATAGGGAGCTCTGAACGAAGGCCCCAATTGTAGCGCCCAGTGGACCAGTTTTTCATCCTGAATTGTTTTGACGGTCCCGAGGCCCAGTAAAGGCCCACACAGGTCGCACATAGATAAACAAACTCCCGTCGGTATTTTTGCTTCACGACTCGAGGGGGTCTGGGACTGATGCGTGCCAATTTTCCCCAGATCCAAAATCGGGTTCTTGTTCCCTCTGCCCCCCCCCCCCCGCGCAGGATCTCCTCCCCCCCTCCTCCTCCTTCTCCTCCTCCTCCTCCTCCTCCTCCTTCTCTCTTCCTTCTCCCCCTCCTCCTCCTCCTCCTCCTTCTCGTCCTCCTCCTCCTCTTCCCCGCTCTCTCTCTCTCTCTCTCTCTCTCTCTCTCTCTCCCTCACTCGCAAACACAATCGCGCACCTCTCATTATCATCATCATCATCATCATCATCATCATCATCATCATCATCATCATCATCATCATCATCATCATCATCATCATCATCATCATCATCATCCCTCAAATAGTACACCCGTATTACACCCATGTCCGGGATAATCCTTTTACACCCGTGTCCGCGATTATCTTTTTTACATGCTACATCCTTCGACGCTCCACGAGGGCCATGTCGTCGACTGCATCTCCATCGACCGTCGCAGATCGCGGTGCCCCTCCTCGCGCCCACACCCGAGCTCCAGGCGAGCATAGCACTTGAGCACCCCAAGGGCACTCAGCGTGAGGATGTCTCGAGCGGTGGCCTCGTCTGTGAGTGAATTGCGAGGAAGTCTAACAAAAGAGCCCACTCCCTCTGGGGCCCGCACTTCCGGTTGGTAGTCCGAGCGGGTCACCCGAAACATCTACCAGGCGTACCACTTGAGCACCCCAATTGTGCAAATCGTGAGGTTGTCCCGAGCGGGGACTTCGACTGTGAGTGGATTGCGAGAACATCTAAGGCGGAAGCCCACTCCCTATGGGGCCTGTACTTCATGTTGGCAATCCGAGCGGATCATCGGAAGACTCAACCAGGCATAGCACCTGAGCACTCCAAGAGTCAAATCGTGAGGATGTCTGACCTGGGGCCTCGCCTGTGAGCGAATTGCGAGGAAGTCCCAGGCAGGAGCCCCCTCCCTATCGGGCCCGCAACTCATGTTGGCAATCCGAGCGCAGGCATTACACGTGAGCAACCCCAGGGGTGAAAATTGTAAGGATGTCTCGAGCGGAGGCTTCGTCGGTGAGTGCATTGCGAGGAAATCGCAGGCGGGAGCCCCCCTCCCAATGGGGCCAAAAAATCACGTTTGTAATCCGAGCGGGTCATCGGCGTAGTGTAGCAGGCAAAGCACTCGAGCACAGCCAGGGTGCACATCGTGAGGATGTCTCGGACGGGCCCCCCCTCCCTTTGGAGCTCGCACTTCATGTTGGTACCTGGGCTCCTCCAGCTGGAATATGCCCTCCATGTTGGGTCCCCACCTCCATGTTGGAATCCGAGTGGGGTCGTCCAAGTCTCGTAACTGCGTCACCTTTTGGCCTCCCAGGCTTGAATCTGGAGGACGTCTCGAGTGGGATCCTCGTCAGCGAATGAATCGCGAGGAATTTTCGAGCGGGGGCCCTCGGAAAGCATCCCAAGGTGAAGGACCCCCAGGAGGCATCAGGAAACCACATGAAGCTTCGGGAGGCCCCAGAAGGCACCAGGAGGCACCACAGGCCGCAGGAGGCTTTAGAGCCACCAGGAAGGCTAGGAGGCTCCAGGAATTTTCCAGGATGCCACAGGAGGCCCCGGGAGGTCCCAGAAGCAACCCAGGCCCTAGGAGGTCCCTAAGGTCCCAGAAGGCTTCAGGCGGCCCCACCACGCACGAGGTTGCAGCAGGAGGCCCCAGGAGGAGGCAGAAGGCACAAGGAAAAGGCCGGGGCAGGAGGAGAAGGAGGCCAGGCACCACGAGAACAGGAGAAGGAGGAGGCAGGAGGGTGCAGGAGGAGGGGGCAAGAGGAGATCCTCAGGCAAACTGAAGAACATAGCATGTGGGGTCTGTCCGTCGGGAAGCTTTTGTCTCGCAGAGAAAGGTGGCAGCAGCGGGAGAAGGGAGAGGCCCGCTGCCCCCAATGGGGGCGGCCCCGCGCCACACTCACGCCGACTCAGCTCTATCACCCGCGAAGGCCGACTGGACACTTTACCGCAAGTGCCTAGACAGTAGACTGGGCCCGTGTGAAGGGCCAGAATACGACTGGACACCTTGCTGCAAGTACTTAGTCGGTATGCACACACAGGTCGCGCTACAAAACGCCGCTGTTTCATAGGCCAGGGTAGGAGGAAGGAGGAGAAGAAAGAGGAGGAGGAGGAGGGGGAGAACGAGGAGGAGAATGACCAGTGTAAACCCAAGAGTTACCAACGATGTTGGAGTAAGCCCTCCCTCCAAGCTCCCTCTTCATTGTCCCCTACAACGAACGCTTCATTTCCATTGATGGAACTGCCTCGTTGGAAGACACCCGTTTGAAGACCCTGAAGCATGCGCCAAAACATTGTTCTCGGGATTCCAACGCCATGGATCAACCTGACGGTTGCGTCTTGGCGATCCTGAATCGTGCCAGAAAGCCATTCCTAGGACTTCAACACAGAGAATCGACATAACTGTTGCGCCCGCATAATCCTGTTTCCTTCCAAAACAACATTTCTGGTACGTTGATGATGGGAATCCGTGAGCCTCTTGAACATGTTTAGAACGCATGTGCGCCGCGCTAAAGCGAGAACCACATGTTGAAAAGGAGCCGCCCTCAATCCGTGAAGCTCGTGCTGCAAATGTTTAAAACGAATGTGCGCCGCGCTAAGGCGGGAACCACATTTTGAAAACGACTCGCCCTAAACCCGTGACACTCTGGCAAATGTTTGAATCGAATGTGCGCCGCGCTAAGGCGAGAACCGCATTTTGAAAACGACTCGCCCTCAATCCGTGTAACTCTGGCATCTTTTTAAACGAATGCGCGAGGCGCTAAGGCGAGAGCCACATTTTGAAAACCACCCGCCCTCCATTTGTGAAACTGTTGCATTGCTTCACCTTCAGAATCATAAATGGTGAGGAAGTCTCAGGCGAAACGCCCGGCACGCCCTAAAAACTTGCCTCGGGGTGCGACCAGGAGAAATGATTTATAAGGAACAGGAATGGAGGTGCTGAGGCTGGATGAAGAGGACGAGCAAAGAGTCGAGGAGCGGTATGCCCTCTTCCGATCCTGGGCGCGGTGGAAGTCGACGCCGAGCTGCTCGGCGTCGCTCCGCGCCCTGCCCAGCGCCTCCTGCGCCGAGCGCAGCTGCCCGCGGCACAGCTCCTCTCGGGGGAGCCAACAGAAAGTAACAATGCCGCTGCTCCCCGGACCACTTCACGAGCGGCGAACGCAGCCGTGTCCGCGCCCTCGCGGTCTGGACCCCGGGGGGCGGTTTCGCGAATACGTTCCGCGTGGGGCAGCCTCGACAAAAACGCCCCGTATCCGCGGGGTTGCGAGGAAGGGCCAGGCCCGCGAGGCCGCGGATACGGCTATGTTTCTCGCCCGCGACGTCTCCCGAGCCCTGACGAGGAGTTCGAGGCGAATCCAACCGTGGCGACGAAGGCCTCCTGGGAGTGCACAGGAAAGCTGGAAAGAGTTGGGTTTGGACATCTTCCATCTTCCGTGCGAGCGGAGGTGACCAGGACATAAAAAAACTGGCAGGGGCCAGGACGAGCCCGCAGCTGTGTCGAGGCCGCCAGGGCTGGAAAACCTGGAGGGAACCTGGCGAAGGCTTGAAAAAGTCGAGGGGCCAGCCAGGGCTACCTCTTCCAGCTTCCCTGTCGCGGTCGCGGGTTCGTGTCGTGTCGAGTCCAGCGCTGGCTCCTGACACCGTGGAGATCGTTCAACCTTGAACGATCGGCCGTTTCTGAAACGTCAGATCGTTCAACCTCGACCGATTCTGGGTCGGCGGCGGCGTTCAACGCTGAACGCCAGCGGCGGGGTCGCCGCCGGTCGACGCGACGCGAACCTGCCGTATATTGTCTCTCCTCTGGTCTCCTCGGCCTTCCTCGCGCTCCCCTCCGCGGCGCGCGCGGCGGCCAGCTCGCCGCCGAGCCTCGCGAGGTCGCCGCGCTGAAGGGCCGACAGCGCCCGCTCCTCCTCGAGGCATCGCTGCGCGACGCGGAGCTCCTCGCGGAGGCCCGCGAGTTCGGAGCGGAGCGCCTTGGGACGCAGAGGGACACACGAGTACCGTGCGCCCCCCCTTGGAGGCGCACGTCCGACCCGAAGGTGCACGGCGAGGGCATGGGATAAAGAGCAAATGGGCAATGAGTCCAAGGTCTGGGAGCCGGTGGAACTCCATCCAGGAATATGGATGTGGCATGGCGATCACTGGCCCCAGGGTCTGAAGCCTCCTGGGCACATTCTCTAACCAACGCCCCAACCGTAGTACCAACAACTACCGGTCTTCGTGAGGGGGCCGAAAGGTCTTACAACATCCCTAGGTGCGTGCCTGAAGTGGGCATCTGGAGTAAGAATTAACGTTCCCCAAACAATGCTTGCACGTAGGGGTTCGTCGCATCTAGGGTAACTGAGCTCCTGTGTCGGTCCGGCCGGTTTGTGGCCGCCCGTCTCCGCCGTTCGTCGCCGCCACTTGCTACAGTCCTGTGATTTCAACATCAGGTATTCGAAATCGTGCTCTCGCGCTGGACGTTCACACAATTCATGTAAGAATCGCGCTCTCGCATGGGACTGCCCCGCAATCTATTCATACGCCGCGCCCTCGACACTCAGGAATCACGCTCCCGCTATGGACTTCCTCACGATATCCTTGGGAATCGCGCTGTCGCGCGAGCCTTCCTCGCGATCCGTGCAGGACTGATGCTTCAGCGACCCGCCAGCTCGACCCGGCCGTCTAGGCCCGCCCGCCCGACTGCCCGCCTGCCCGCCCGCCTGCCCGCCGTCTAGACCCGGCCCGTCTGGCCCCCCCGGGTCTGGATCTGCCGCTCATGTTCCTGCTCCTAAGCCGCCTTCTGCTAGATCTCTCCCGTGCTCCATCGTTCTCTGTCTCCGTCGTCCCGTCCTTCTTCGCTCCCCTGTTTTATGCGCTGCGCGAACTACATGTGGCAGGTAAGGAAGGTATATCCGCAAGGGAGGTACGATCCAAGACGAAGAGGGCGGGCGGGTATTGAGGGTTTGGGATATACATGTTAAACGACACGCGTGCAGATAAGAGCGAACAATCTTGAAATGCTTGCTGTTGTTGTCGTCGTCCTGCGACAACCCCGCAACCCACCCACCCGCGACCCAACCCGCGACCCACCCGCGACCCGCCCGCGACCCACCCGCGACCCGCCCGCGACCCACCGGCGACCCACCCCGCGCCCGCCCCCTCACTTGTATCCGCGAGTGCGGGGTGCTGCATACATCGCTGCTCAGGCAGTGTGGGCAGAACCCCCGCGCCACCAAGCATAGAGTTCTGAGCGCGCGCGCGTCGCCCCTGGGGGGCGGGGGGGGGGGACGCACACACGGTATAAGGATGTTTGAGTGATGCCGATGCCTTCAGGTCGGCCTCCCTCTGCTCGAGACGGCTCTCCGTGCTCCTAGCAGAAGAAATGACGTCACACCCATGAACTGTCGGAGTTCTGCGATGATCTCCTGGATCGGCGCTGGACCAGCGCCAGGGAGGGGAGTCTAGCGCTGATCCACGAAATGCGCGCGAACCTCCGACAGTTTATAGTCATGAATTTCTCATATTCGATCTCCGCAGGAGGCTCAGCGTCTCGTCCTGCTTCTGCGCGCTTCTGGCCAGCTCGTCCTGGGACGAGCTGTACTTGCCCTGGAATTCTGCCACGAGGCCCTTCGACTGCGTCCAGTCGTCCTTGAGGCTGGCGTTGTCCTTCGCCACCACATCGGCGACGTTGAGGCTGTCCAGGCGTTCCTTGTCCAGCTTGGCCAGCTGGGAGTTCTTGACGCGGATCGTGTCCTCCAGTTGGGAGCAGCCAGGGGGTCTGCGCTGAACGGGCCCCGAGAAAATCTCTGTCAAGAGGCGGGGGCAAAGCCAGACTACGTTCAAAATGGGTCCCTTGACGCCCCCCAGGGTCGAAACTATAAATTCTTCGAGGCGCGTCCAGCCGTGGCGACGAGGGTGCCCCATTCTCGAGAAACATATCCGTATCCGTGGACGCGCGGGCCCGGCCCTTGGGCCGGGATCCCGCGGATACGGGGCGTGTTGTGTGGATGCTCCGCGCGGAGCGTATCCGTGCGACCGCGAATCCCCGGGATCGCACCGGAGAAACCAGTCCGCGAGGGCGCGGATACGGATATGTTCGCCGCTCGTGACCTTCTGCTGGCTGGACGCAGTACTGGGCCACCTCAACCCAACGGCTGGCTCCAGTCCTCAAGCAGGCCCACGCGACGGTTTGCGGCGGTGAGCCTCTCCGTGACGCCCGCCAACTTCTCCCTGGCCGTCTTCGCCTCGGCCTCGGCCTCGGCCTGCTTCGCCTGCGCGTCCGCGGCGTCCGCGCCGAGCTGCTTCACCTGCTGCTTGAGCCCCACCTCGCTCACCTAGCAGAACAAGCTGCATAAACATAAACTTTCGGTGCTCCGCGCGGATGTCTTGGATCGTCGGAGGACCCCCCTGGCGGCGCCTCCAACGCCGTCCCTGTGTCCAGCGCCGATCCGACAAATCCGCATGGATCTCCGACAAATTATGTTTATGCAATTTTTACCACTCGATCACCCTGGAGTCGTCGGACTGCTGCCGGCTCGACAAGAGCTCGCCGGTCCAGCTCTGGAGGCGCTCCTGGCGCTCCCTGGCCGTGTCCGCCAGCAGGCGCATGTCCCTGGACATGACCTTCATCTTCATGTCGGCGTTGAAGAGGGCGGTCTTATGCCGCAGGACTTCGCCGTCCAGGGCCCTGACCCGCGCCTGCGGGTCCTTGCAGGACAGGGAGTTCACCTCGCCGGTCAGCGTCTCCCAGCGCTCCCCCAGGAAGGCGATCCGCATCTCGTAGTCGACGACCTGGGCCTGGGCCTTGGCTAGGTCCTTCTCGAGCTTCGGCGGCACCTTCTGCACCTCCGCCAGGTTGTCCCGCAGCGCGTCCCTCTCAAGCTCCACCTCCACGGTCCGCTGCTCCGCAAGGCTTTGCTTGGTCAGCGCGCGGTCCCGGTCGCCGATGAGCCTGAATATTGTTTTGTTTTCCTCTGGCGCGTAACTGTCACTACCCAGACCCCACCCCCTCGCCCCACCCCCTGGGTAGCGGTAATAAGAGCCTGGACCCACTCCCCACGCATACTGGTACTCGCGCGTGTGCTATGGCGAGCGCAGCGCACCCTGCCCCGACGTGCCCCACCTCGCCCAAGAGTTACTTTACCCAGGGCCCCAACCCCCACCGCCTGTCGGAGGAGGTCTGCTTAAGAACACCATTCACGAGACGTACCCAAATCCTTCTCCATGCAAGGCGACTATTGAAAGGAGTACTCTTTACAAACGAACGCATTGAGATATGCAGCACTCCTGCGCAAGAAGACACCGACAAGTGTGCGGTTGGCGGCCTCGCGGGGAGCCGCGAGGTCTCCTCTGGGTGCGCGTGCCCCCCGACTCCGCTGGCCCTCCCAGGGGCCCACGAGAGTGGCGACGATTGCGCATTTCGCAGCCACCCAGGGGGCAGCGAGGTCTCGTCTGGGTGCGCGTGCCCCCCGACTCCGCTGGCCCTCCCAGGGGCCCACGAGAGTGGCGACGATTGCGCCTTTCACGGCGTGGGCAGCGCAGGAGGAGGCAGGGAGGAAAAGGGGGGCGGGAGGAGAAGAGGTGGGGACCAGTGCTCTATCCAAAACGAGAACTCAACACAGGAGGGTTGGGGAAAAACTCCTGCGGAAGACGACCGTGGCCAGGTCGCGCGGCTCGCTGATGCCGGGCGGGATCAGGCTCGCGCCGCCCGCCTCCGCCTGTCGGAGGACGCCAGCTGCACACCTTCACCGATCCTGGGCCCATGATCGGAACACGAACCCTCCTGGGATGGCATGCGCACAGGTCCGGGTCCCAGGCCTGGCACTGGCACGACCAGGTCCAGCAGGGCCTGGTTTGGTGATGCATGGTGGGTCCAGCAGGGCCTGGGCACAGTCTCGCCAAGTTTCCAGTAGCTTTTCCGAAGTTTGCCAATGCGCCGTGCAGGCGCCTGGCTCACCTGACCTGGTGGGGGACGCCTCCCCTGCCCCATTCTACGAAGCGGAACTGCCGTCACCCGAGAAATATAGGTTTCAGACCTGGTTTAGTGATTTCGGCAAACGTGTTTGTTTGCCTTCGGGGCGCTAGCACTTACGGGCCGCCCTTACCTGGGGCCCTGGCTGTACCCAACTAGGGTCGGCCTGGCCAAGACCTCGGGGGCATCCAACGAGGGGGGCGTCCAAAAGGGGGGTTCGCAAATCATAGCCCGAGGCGCGTGCGCGGGCCAACGGGGAAGGGGGCACGGGACGTGTGGAGACAAGAAGAGGCGCCGTGAAATCTGTCGGGGCAGCATGGCACCGGCCATGATATCCACCACCACCCCTAGTCATCACCCCCCTCTTGGACGCCGCCTAAGATCGGTGCCGGTGTGCAGGTGGCGCCCCTCTGGGCCTGGATCACCTCGGTGAAAAGGTCGCTCACCAGCTGGCGCCAGTCCTGGGACATGGCGGGCCGTGTTCCCAGGGCCCTGCTGCGCGGCCCCGCCCCTGAGAGCGGAGGGTGGGGGGGGGCCTTTGGGCCAGAGGCGGTGGAACGGCCAGTGATGGGAGCCGCGCGTGCGGTGGGGGCACTGGAGAAGGAACCCTTAGATAAGGAATCCAGGGTCTGGAGGCTGGTGGAACCCCAATCGAAGCTTAGCCATGGACATCACCGCCGCCCTCATCCAATCATGAATCTTCCAGGGTCTGCAGCCTCCTGGGCGCATTCCTTAACCAACGCCTCCACCGTATACGCACTGAAATATCCGGGCCCTGCCCCATGGGGCTTCGCAGAAACGCCGCAAGACAGCGTCGTGTGTATCACTTTCCGGCGGGTTCTCTGGCCGACAGGTGTGGAACGAAATGCATGTAGCAGCCCGCCGCTGCGGACAAAAATGAGGGGGCGGGCACGGGGTGGGTCGCGGGTGGATCGCGCGGTTGGCCGCAGTGTGGGGCGGGGGGTGGATCGCGGGTGGGTCGCGGATGGATAGCGGGCGGGTCGCGGGCAACAAGAATCAAGTTCAGACTGCTGGATCTTATCTGAACGCGCGCCATCCAACACATCTATCCCAAATGATCAATGCCCGCCATCTTGGTATTCGATCGTACCCCTGTGGGGGTATATCAGTTTGAAACGGGTTGGGAAACCCAACCAGCAGCTTCGCCTTAGCGAAGCCCAGCTCCAGTGATGCTGTACCGTAGCAACGATAGTCCCAGTAGTACGATATCAGCGCGGAAGCGACGAGCCATCTCAAGCAAATGATGTTTTGGTCTCGATGGGAAATGGTACGCCTCGGGCTGAAATGTAGTCAGATCTGGGCGGCCGGCCGCTTGAGCACGAACGGCCGCGGACACACGCTCGTTGCCTCTCGCCTGTATCCCAGCTCACTTTAGAGTTGGGAGGGAATGAGACGAAGCGTGAGTCCGCCGCTCCTGTACAGCAGGTACAGCAGCTACTATACACAAAAGGGCAGCAAAAGGGCGGGGCCGTAAGGAAGGTGGACCCACACGCAAGTTGCCTTGCCTGCACGTTACTGTGCATACGAGTACTCCTCAGGCGGCCGCAAACCAGGATGTCTGGCCAGCCCGGTAAGGAGTGTGACGCTGTAAGTCATGCTTGAAGGACTGCGTGCTCCCATGCCCTGTAGGAACATATCCCTGTCGATGCTCCCCTTTGTGTGACCGTCCGCGGTCATGTCGCGGGTGTCGCACCACTAAATACTATGCACGATTCCTCGCTCCATCATCTGCCGTATCCAACTGATGCGTCCTAAGAGGGTGCACCCAGCCGGCTTCTTCAAGTCTTTGCTTGACAAGGACTTAAAGTCATACTCAGCATCTATGGTCAAAGTGACCATGATGATCAGGCCACCCAACTCAAGTATGTCCTTCAACTGAGTGAGAGTCAGCGGCCCTGCATGGAGCTCGTGCAGAGTCACGATCGTGGGGTAGCAGTCCTCCGAGTTATGGGCTGCTGCAAGTGTCTCTGTTGAATAGCTCGAGCGGAAATGCAAGCGGTGAGACTTGCAGTACGCATCGATCAAGTGAGCGACAGGCTTGCCGGATGGCGTGCTTCCACGCCATAGCAGGTTTGCCACGCGAAAACCATCGCCATTGGCTTCGACATCGGCATCCCCACTCAGGCGTCGGTGACCTGAGTCGCTGTGCAGGTCAACTTCGCCCGCGGAAGTCACCGTTTGGTAGACGATCTTCTTGCGCAGGCCTGCAACTTCCTGGTAATCGCGTTCAGTCGTCGCACTTGTATGTTGGTCGGTTCTTGGACACGTTGTAGAGAGACTACATGCACCATCAACCACACATGGGTGATTAATGCGTAAGCAAATTCGCCTCTGAAGCAGACGCACATGTCTGCACCCACCTTGGATGCCTTGGCGTCAGCGTCAGCGCCGGTAAATTCAGGATGGCGCATAGGACGGAGCTGCTTGATGTACTCGTCTTGGTCCGACGCGACATTTCCGTCCTCATCCTTGGTGTACCTCGCAGCACAATCGGTGTATGTATGCTTGTTGATGTAAACACTTGCGCCAGCCATATTGATGTCAGCAACGTGCTTGGCTGTGAGCAAGTTGCTGCTCGTCTCGAAATCCTCGTCGTAGGACGCGGGTCTGAGACCGAAGCCTCGCGTGGTCCTTCTGAGCTTTGGTGGGGAAGTTCTAAGTGCGTCCTGAGTGCCAATGCCTGGCTTGAGGCGCTGCAAACAATGTTTCGACTCGTCGCAGTGCTCGAATCCTGGGAGGGATCGAAGCACCGTAGCCGGTCCAGGCGGCAAAGTAAAGCACACCACGCGTTCTTTCTCACAAGTTGCCTCCGCAAGTTCCTGGTGAGTCAACCCTTCCAGGAAGGCCATGTTGATGTCGAGGGAAGCAATGATCCATTGCTTCCTGCCAGCTGCCGCGCTTGCAAGTAGTCTCTGGCGTGGCCGCCGTGCTGTCCCTGAGAAGGCTTCCACGCCGAAACCTTCGAGGTCTATGAAACGCCGAAGCACCAGGCGCACTGCGATGGTGCGTTCCATCTCGCCCTTCTCGTTCTTCACGAACTTCCATTTTTACACGTGCATCGAAGTCATGCTGTCTGACGCTTTATATATCTTGCTTTTTGAATCCCTCGTTGCCAAACCATGTCTTGAGCTCAGCGCACTGGGCCTCCGATGCTCTCTCGGGATTTGCCTGGGCGTCAGCCTTCGCGAGGAAGTCCCCCTTGACGACCACGGCTCGCTTTGCAGCGGCGGTGACATATACTCGCACGGTGGTCACGCGGCCGACATCTAATATCCTGCGATGCTGCTCGGATAGGACTACCCTTGACATTTCTGCCGCGAAGCAGAGTCCTAACTATTGTCCGTTTTCGTCTGGGTCCACTCCGCAACTGCAATCTTCGACCGTGGAGCACAAAAATACATGATATGTCTCCTCGATATCGGAGTCGCGTGGGTGTCCCCACTCAGGCAGGTGCCCCCGCTGTTCTTCAGCTACAGTGACCAACGCGCTGTTGTCGGGAATCATATGTGCGGGTGCTGTGTAAAGGCCATCTAGTGGAATTGCCTCCACTAGTTCCCTTTCATCATGTAGTTCTGTATACCACATTTCCATCATATGTGCCTCGAGGTCCGCTCCCGATTCCTCGAGCATCGTGGGAAATCGCCCATCCTCCTGCGGTGGTTAGGCTTCTGGGGCTTCTCCAGCGGTTCCGTCTTGTGTCGGTGTATCTGCCAATTCCTCAAACTTTGCCATGCCTTGGTCAGAGCCCGCTTGAGGCTTGGTGGGCTTCAGGCACAGGATGATTCTCGGATGTGCTGGTCAAGTTATATCATAATATTGAGAGCGGTGCGAGCCACCGGAGGTTGCTCGCGCACCCCCCTGGCCAGCCGAACAGAAACTACGTTCTCGATACGGAAGATGTTTCTGATAAGGTAGTGTAACGACACATGTACCCTAGGAGATAGTCGGCTCGCACTTGTCCTCTGAAGCGTCCCCTTCTTGGTCGGGACATAGCCAAATGTCATAGCAGGTCGCCCCGCAAGTAGAATGGCCACGGATGTCAACGCTGTTCGTAATGCAGTGTTGTCGGAGCCGAGTTCCCTGGCTGTCAAAACTTCGATGTAGAGTGCAAGTCGTGCGTCGCCGCATTGTACTTGAACATCGCGGCTTCCCACTCGAATGATGACTTGACCCCTGTCTAGATGATGTCTTGCGACCGGGAACGGGCCATTCCAGCCTCCCCAGTCGCCCTTCGTAGTAGTGGGGCGATGCGATGATAATCAGCTACATCTCCTTCATCGTAGCAGTGCTGACCGATGATAATTGTCCGAGTGCGTAATGCACGATTGGTCTTGGCTGCTGCAGTTGCCTGTGTGATAGCTTCAATGCACACCTTGCGTATCACTTTCGAGAATGGTCCAAAACTGCCGTCGGCTGTTCGTGATCCAGAACTGGCAGGTCAGGGAGCATTGCCGGTCGCCGTCCACAAGGCGTTATGGAGACACCTCAGTATAAAAGGTGAACGCGCTGGTGGCAAACAGGGCATCATGCAGTAGTCGTGTGAACACAAGGGGTATGTCTAAGCTGTTGACTTCAGCTTCCATGACGTGAAGTAGCTGGCGTAGTATGCCATTTCTGGCTTCGATGGTCGTAGCGCGTTGTCCACGCGCGCGCATCCTCAGCTCAGTGCCCTTTGCCTTAAGGACTGCATTCGCAACGTCGTTGTTAAGGGCACCCTCCCCCATCGTAGTAGGAGTACCTTGGCAGGTCCAGATTGCATCCAGCACTGATGGTACGCATCTAGGATACTGGTCATTGTCTTATCTGGTATCGCCATTCCAATAGCATAGCGAATACAACGATCGATACTGTGAAGTATATCATGGTCTTGTTTCGCGCGCGGGGCGGCCCCTGGGGGTCCCCGGACGAAAAGTACCCGGGGCGGCCCCCGGCAGGGTCGGATCAGAGATGGTGTTCCTCCTGGGCGCAGCCCCCGTGGCCCTCCAGAGAGCCCCAAGAAGGGCCACGAGGCCGCCAAGAGCCCTCAAGAGTGCTTCGAGATGCCACGCGATCGTTCCAAGACGCCCAAGATGGCCCCCAGACGCCCCAAGAGGCCTCCAAGAGCACTCCCCGGAGGGCCCCAAGAGGCAAAATTCATTACTTGTCCTTAGGTTTTGGGCAGATTTTGGCGCGTCCATCCTTTCGGCTTCCCGGCGCCCCAAGACGGCCCAAGAGGCCCCCAAGATCGCCCCAAGAGGGCCCAAGAAGCTCCCAAGAAGGCCCCAAGATGCCCAAGAGGGCCCCAAGCGATGCCCCAAAGGGGGAACACAAAACAAATTACCCTGTCACGTACCCAACCCATTTGTATCATGGGAAACGAGGAGTTGGCCGAAACTTGCACGGACAATCGAATTGCAGGATCCGTTGATTGATATGTAAGCTACTTGGGACACGCGCCAATCGCATGACG